TTTGGGCACCAAAAATCACGTAAATGTCTCTTGTAGGTGTGTTGGAGTGATAGTGAGCAATGAAAATGAATTTGGAGGCTCTAGACACACTAAGAGAGAACACTTGAAGAAAGGGAGGCCTAACAAATCGACTTTTATTCAAGTGGTAACAAGTTTTTATTTTCATGCAATTCTATGCTTTGTATGATTTTATATGTTTATATGCATGATTGTGAGTCCTTACATGGTATTGTGTATCCCTATATAGTAATTAATTTCAATTAGTTAAGGGGATTTATTATTCCATAAGTTGCAATTTTATATCCCTATATGCTTATGATGATTATTTTGGCCTTAAATTTGCAATACTTGATTGTTGTGTGAAATCATATGCTTCATGCTTTGTATTGATAATATATGTTAATTTTGAGAATAAGATGTTTAAATGTAGAAAAAATTGAAAATATGCATGTTTAGGATCTTTAGAGCCATTGTATATTTATGTGACTTGATTTGGACTTTATTTTTGCAAATTATGGACTAAATTGATCAATAATAAATTTTGCATATTTTGATGTTTCAAGTTGACATTCATGCACATTTATTATCCTCTAAGTCATTAAAAGTAATGTCCTATCAATAATATGACTTAAGTTGCTTCAAATTCGAGTATAATATCATCTAATTTGATCATTAGAATAAAAATGCAAATTTTCAGAAAAATGATCGACCCCTTTGAGCAAAGGATCGATTTCCTTGCATTTTCCAAAAAATGATCGATCCCTTTTTACGAATGATCGATCTTGTTAGGTCAAATGTGCGGGAAAATGCTGCTTTAAGGCTAGTTGTACGTATTTCTTCATTTTCACTCTATATTTCAAAGCAAAATACCCAAAACGTCCCAAACTCTGAATTTCATCAAAATCCTTTATATCGAATCGTTTTCAAGTGGGTCTTGTGCGAAAATCAACCTGTGCGAAAATCAACCTTCTTCCATTATTTCAACGATTCATAACATCAATTTGAAAGAATCATCACATTTGGGTAAAAAAATTCAAAACCCTAAATTTTCAATTCTTTAAATTCGAACAAATTGGGTGATTTTAGGTGGTTAGAGAACATTTATTCATTGTAAAAATTAGGTGGTTAGAGAACATTTGGCTAAGGTAGTGGATGTAGACTTTGGTTTAGAAAGTTGAACCACCTTAAATTGTTGTGAAAAAGTTTTATTTTACGATTGCTTCTACAAATTTTTTAAAAGACCAATTCAATCTCTTGGTGGTTTCTGGTTGATCGTTTCGAGCCCAACATATATGGAATAACTTAATAGATATTATATTTTTTAATAAATTTAAAAATAATAATTATATTTTTTATTATTTTATACTTGATGTAATTAGAGCAGACTTTATTTACGAACGAATAAAAATTAGTATTACAAAATATATTTAAATTTATATCATCTTAAAATTTATTGAACAATTTCAACGATAAAATGAATAATTGATTTTGTTAAAAGATTTGAGTTTGAATAATCATATCTGAATGACGTATGTACATTATCAATAGATTGAAAAAATCTAAAAAAAATACAATCTTATAATATTTTTACGATATATATTATCTTATAATACAATGAATGTAATGAAATCTGAATTATTAAAAACTGTATAGGATCTTATTATAAAATGTAAAATTACTAGTTTCACATAAACTTAAGGTTGTTGGACGAGTGAAAATAGATTAACGAGATTAACTGTAAAAATGAGAAAATATTTATTGAGGAATAAAATAAGGAAGTAATCACACATCTATTTTTACTCATTCAATTGTCTTAATTTTATGTAAAACTAAACTAGTTTAATGTTGTATAAATGAATCATGAACCGTTAATATATATATATATATATATATAACATTTAAATTTATTTTATTTTTTATCATGTTAATAAAAAAATAAAGTACACAAATGGGCTCGACTATAGGATATTGTTTTATTTAGTCTCTCAACTATTAAAAGTTATAAAATGGTCCCAGGGTATTACTTTATTAAGTTCATCGACTATTAAAAGTTACAAAATGGTCCCTCAATTATTAAAAGTTACAAAATGGTCATCTGACATTTATTATGTTCTAAACTCGTCCCTTTTCATTAAAAAATGGTGTTTGTCTAAGTTGGACATTAATATGATGAATGAGATATGATAGTCTTTGAGATTCTAAGATTAAATTTTATCATATCGCAGTCAGCATGTTAACGTTCAACTCATAATATTATCAAATTTTTAACGAAAAATGACGAGTCTAGAACATAATAAATAGTTGGGAGACCATTTTGTAACTTTTAATAGTCGAGAGACTCAACAAAGCAACACTATATAGCTAGAGGATGATTTTGTAACTTTTAATAATCGATAGTTAATAAAGTAATTCCCTATAGTTTGGTACCATTTGTGTAGTCTACTCTGATAAAAAAGGGTAAAGTATAGTAATAGTCATTGAATTTTTTTAAAGCTTTCATTTTGGTCCCTCAACTTTTAAAACTTACAATACAGTCCCCAACATTTAGTCCGTTTTTAATATGGTCCCCCAAAAGTTACGTCGAGGACCATATTACAAACAGACTAAATGTTGAGAGACCATATTGTAAAAGGACTAAATGTTGGGGGATTGTATTGTAAGTTTTAAAAGTTGGGAGAGCTAAATAAAAGCTTTAGAAAAGTTCAGTGACCATTACTATACTTTACCCTAAACTTATCTAGAAATACTTATCTTTACAAGGTAGGGTTTGCCTGTCTTACAATCCTTTAGCATTACCAACCAAAATACATTAAACTAAATCTTAAATAGACTATAATATATTGATCAAACCACAATTTAACTTCAAACAAAGTAAGCTAATTTTACTGCTCAACCGCTACAGAGGATCTCTTCGATCATTCGATCAAAGTTGGTAAGGGAAGATCCTCCATTATTAATGGATGCTTCATCTTTCTTCTTCCATTCCAAGGCCTTTTGCCTTATCCTTTGCCAATCATCTCCTTCCATCATCTCTCTAACAAGACTCTCCACATCGTCACGCTTTACGTCCGGGTTGATTTCCATCGCACTACCCCATGTGTTGCATGCATATCGACAGTTCGTCTGTTGATCTGCGAAGAAAGGCCAGCAAATTAAAGGCACGCCTTCCGAAACAGCTTCCAATACAGAATTCCACCCGTAATGTGTCAAAAAAAAGTCCAATCGTTGGGTGGGACAGGACTTGCTGTTGGGGACACCAGCTTGTGATGAAGCCCCTTCCCTTTATTTCCTCCATGAATTCTGTTAGCAAAACAGCCGATTCACCCATTACGACATCGGGTCTCACTATCCATAAAAACGGGTACTTACTGTTTGCAAGTCCCCAAGCAAATTCTTTTAGATGATGATCTGACATCACTGTTAATCTTCCATAATTCACATACAAAATCGAGTTAGGCTCCATTGTGTTAAGCCATTCGATGCATCTTGTGTCTTCATTCCATATGCTTGAATTTAGCGAGTCGTGTTGGATTCCGGGTATGTTAATGTTCCTACAGAGCGAGGCAAGTAGACCAATGGCATAAATATTTGGGGTTTTGTCCGCAAGAACTTACATCACTTCTTTGTCCAACTCATCGAAAGTGTTGAAGATTATTGAAGAAAATTCTAAGCATTCATGCGATCTTCAATGCAGAAATTCAACATGATGTCTTTGGGATCGGTGGTTCTTATTAAGCTCGGCATATCCTTGTAGCGCATATTAGGCATACGGGGGATATCAATCGGCTTCTCAAGTGTCCCATCGCTAACAAAGTTCTCATCTGCAAGGAATAATAACATAAGATAAATAGAAGATCAAGTAACAAACTAGTAAAAGGAAAGCCTAAAATAATTTGTGTTTGTAACCTTTGAATGGAACAATGCCTTTTTGAACAAGTTCTTTGTATTGAAGATATCCCATAAAGCTAATAGTGGAAGAAGTCTAGAGTTGAACATAAGGCACCCCGATGACTTGAGCAGCCTTGGTTCCGTAGTTCATGATTCCATCAGAAACTACGCAAGTAACAGGCGACACTTGGGGTGAGGAATTCAACTTAGAGAGTAGTTCCAAGAATGGTGTGAAACAAGTTCTTCGTGTGGAATCACATATTAGTGGAACATGCTGAGTTGCATCGGCATCAGAAGGTGGCAACCCATCGGGGATGGTTTCGAATTGGAAATTCGGTAGACCCTTAACGGCTTCTACCCCTCTAGACCGGATCAATCGTCTATGGTTGAACTCGGAGTTGACAAAGGCTATATGGAAGCCTCTTGAATGCAAGAGCTTAGCCAGTTGCATCATGGGGTTAACATGGCCTTGTGCTAGGAATAGAAGGCATACTGCATGTGGTTTAGATCCAGTTGAAACCATCGTAGAGGAAATAATAAATAAGCAGTGAATTGAAGCTAAAATTCAAGGATAATATGATGAATCTCCCTTACTAACAGAAAACGAGGTCGATATAAACAGTAAAACGTAGGGTGATTATGGTGTAAAATAATAGGCTGAGGCTGCTTTCGAAGTGGGGTGGCGTATCAAATTATTTGCGGATATTATGGCCAGCTTCTTGATGTCTTCATCCATGCCAAAATCGATCATCAGATTAAGATTTGTGGTAGGTGAGTATGAAAAAGCGTAAGGGTAAAGTATAGTAATAGTCACTAAAATTTTCTAAATCTTTCATTTAGGTCCCTAACTTTTAAAACTTGTAATATAATCCCCCAACATTTAGTCCGTTTGCAATATGATCCTCAATAAATACATCAGGGACCATATTGCAAACGGATTAAACGTTGAGGGACTATATTGCAAATGGACTAAATGTTTAGGGATCATATTGCAAACAAACTAAATATTAAGGGATTGTATTGCAAGTTTTAAAAGTTAGGGACCTAAATGAAATATTTAGAAAAATTCAATGACCATTACTATACTTTACCATAAAAAAAAAGTGAAAATAACCCATTTATCTCCCATGTACCATAGTTTTGCTTTTCATCGACTTTCTTTCTCCAGATTCTCCACTCTTGACTTCTATATCTTCCTCTTTTCCTACCTTCCCGATCAGATCTCTAAAAGCCAGTGAAAAGAAAACCTCCAGTGAATCACCCATGACGCTTGGCTCTGGAGGATCGAGTGTCGTGGTTAGCCCCTTTGCTTCCCTTTCACTCTTCTATTTTTTTTTAATTTTCTTCCCCCTTTGCTTCTCGACTCGATCTTGCCTTTCTGTTAATCTACCTTAGATTCCATTATTGGGTTTTTTCTTGATTTTTTTTATTGTTTTATCGTTTCTTGCATGAATAATCAGTTATTATTCATGGGTCTGGACAATTTATGTGGATTAAGATAAGAAATTTAAGGGACTCCCTTTGTTTTTTCTATTGTGTTATAGGTTAATCGTTTCGTTTCAAGTTCTGGCTGGCTTTTAATTTTTATATTTGCTTTTTAATTGATTTCATTGCTGTTATATTGGGTATAAAGTTTTAATTTTTTTTTTGATTATCTTGGGTATCTATCGAACAATTTGAAGCTTTTTTAGTTTCATCAAGAATGTTATGTTAGTTTATTAATTGTGATTTTTTCATGAAAAATCTCATGCTATGTGAAAATCTTATATGAATATTTGATCATTTACGTTCCAATAGTGGTTGAATAGGTTTTGCAAGTAAAATCTTGAATCGAAGAACATAGAAATGTGCATTTTTGTGTATTGTGACTTTTTTTTCTCTTAAAACTACAATAGATGGGCGTTGATGATTAAATGTTCTTTAGCTGTATGAAGATGTTGCTGCTTTAGAGTTGGCGTTGTAATATGCATCATATTTGAACAGATAATGTCTATAAGTCGAATTATGTAGGTTGAAAAGCAAGAAATATGCTCCTTTTTTTTTTGCATTTTAGTATGGGACTATAAATATGTTTATCATCAAGTAATGAATCTCCAGGGCTCGTTGTTTTAGAGTAAGTGCAGTTTGAATAAAATGAAACTGATACAAGCTTGTTAGGACTTATTCTGTGATTAGCATAATGATCATGCCCTTTATTGAGTTTTATACGCTCATTTTACAGTGCCTCGGAACTTCAGATTGCTGGAGGAGCTTGAACGTGGAGAAGAAGGTATTGGAGATGGTACCGTGAGCTATGGAATGGATGATGGAGATGATATTTACATGCGCTCTTGGACTGCCAACATTATTGATCCTCATAATGTAATTGCATATTTTTAAGTGAACCTTCATGTTTTAATGTTTTTTTCCTTTAGATGAAACTTAGTATCTATATGAACAGTCATAGACGAAGCACTGGGTATTTAACACAACTTTTCATAGAAACAGAGAACATAAAGCTTGTTCTGGTTGGATTTTGGAGTAAACATTGGTTTTTTGCTGGAGGATTTTTGGAGCTATCATTTTGTACATGCTTTTCTGTCTCTTTCTTTGTGGTGATACTTTTTTCCTGTTTTCAGACCGTACATGAGGGTCGAATCTATCAACTGAAGCTGTTTTGTGATAAAGATTATCCCGAGAAGCCACCAAGTGGCCATTTTCATTCAAGGATCAACATGACTTTTGTTAACCATCAAACCGGAGTGGTATATACTAATAATGTTACATTCTTTCGTCATGCAATGATCGGTTTATTTATTTCATATCCGTCAGTTAATCATTTGTTTCTTTTCGTTGATTGGTTAATATCTTAAATCACCTGTATATTCATATGGTTAAATAGTATTATGAGAGAAAACATGATGACTTAGATTTGATGGTATGGGAATGGCACCATGTGGAACCAAAGAAGTTTGGACTTATTGCAAATTGGCAGAGGGAGTATACAATGGAGGATATACTGACACAGCTGAAGAAGGAGATGGCTTCCCCGCATAACCGGAAGTTGGTCCAACCACCCGAGGGTAGCTACTTCTAGATCTCAAGATCGTATTAGATATTATCCTGGATCGAATAGCATTCTTAGTAATGCAATATATAGTTTGTAATGGTTGTTTGATCCTTGCATTAAGAACAAACTGGGGAATGCCCTGAAAGAAAGCTTCTCTAATTACTTCTCCATGGCTTCATCTTTTTAATCCTTTTTGTCAAAACTCTATTGATTTGGTTAATAGGATCCTAAAGAATCGGCGTGTTAAATATTAAAAAGGGAGAGAAATTTCTAGTTCCGACGATTTTTTCTTCGTCTTTTACAAATAGTATTTCAGAAATTTTCTTGCTCGTTAATCTTAGTCAAGCAAGCAAAAGGGAGAAAACAAGTAGCATCACCGTCTACATCTACAATTTTAGTCTTTTTGCATAAGTTTTACGATAGTTCATCATCTGCATGTTGCTGATATTAGAGAAAAAAAAACAAAGGGTCAATTATGTTTATTTTCTTCCTTGACAATAGGGGTGCACAAAAAATCCGAATATCCGATTTTGCGAAAAAAATATCCGAAACCGAATTTGGGAAAAACCGGTTTTTTTTAACCGGATCGGATTTTTTTAAACTGGTTATTTTAACCGGTTTGGAGAAAAAAACCTAGACCGGTTTTTTTACCGGATAAAAAACCGGTTTGAAAAAAACCGGTTAAAAAACCGGTTTTTATCCGGAAAAAAAAACCGGTCTAGGTTTAAAAAACTAGCCGTTAATATAGCCGTTGGGGGGGATTTTGTGACCGTTTTTGATCGTTTTTTCTTTAAAAAATTACCATTTTACCACCCTAAACATGTATAAATATAGCTATGTATTTATTTATACATGCATTGCATTTTATCTATATTTTTAATTTTCTGACTGTCGGAGGTCTTTCACGGAAGCTACTCCCAACCTGGCGTTGGGGGCAGCCTACTACCCTACCTCCCCCTTACCCCATACATATGGGAATTGGGTTTTGTTGTTGTTGTTGTTGTTGTTAAACATCTCTCAAATCTTATTTTTGTAATTTTTTGTACATCATGAGTAACACGGCTGAATCTTCCGTCGGGGGAAACCTTGAAGTCGTGAGAGTGATCGAACACACTCGAAACAAAGACATTTGGGATCACTACGATTTATGTGAGATGTCAAATGGCTCGAGGAGGGCGCGTTGTAAACTTTGTCTAAAGTTTCTTGCATCGGAAGGAAACACAACGTTGAAGAACCATTTGACAAAATCATGCAAGGCACTTCGCTCAAGATCGGATCCTAGTCAATCGAATCTTACACCGCAAGGTGGTGTTTTTGTTTACGACAACGAAAAATTACGAGAAGCGTTTACAAAGTTCGTGATTACAAAAGCATTGCCGTTCGACCACTTTGATGATGAATATTTCACGACAACAATTCAACAACTAATGCAACCACGTTATACTCAAGTAAGTCGTACTACCCTTAGAAGAGATGCTATAAAAATGTGGCGTACGGCGAGGGAAAAAATGATTTTAGGATTCCAAGAACACCGTTATGATGTGTCGCTTACATGTGACGTTTGGAGTTCCCCTCATAATACCGGAAATTCTTTTTTAGCCGTTACGTCACATTGGTTAGATCAAGATAATTGGCAAATGATGAAAAGAACAATTGCGTTTGAATTATTCGGTGAGCCGCATACCGGTGCTAATTTATTTACACTTTTAAAAAGGGTAATTTGTCTTTATAAATTAGAAAATAAAGTTTTTTCTATATCCTTTGATAATGCATCGAATAATACAAACGTGGTCCAAGATTGAAAATATTACTTTCACCGATTTTAGACGTGTGTTTTTTCATACCCGTTGCGTTGCACACATAATTAATTTATCCGTGCAAGCCGGTTTGGAGGTTATTGAGCCGATTATTAGAATTTAATGATAAAATCGGATCTTTGTAACAACAACAAAAGACTAAATGATTATAACGATTTTGTAAGTCCGTTAATAAAAAGCTTTGGGTCCTAATTTGGATTGTCCAACTCGTTGGAACTCAACTTGGATGATGATGCATACTGCCTTAAGGCAAAGGGAAACATTGCAAACATTTCACGATCGACTTTTCGAGAGGGGTCATATCCCAAACATTTATCCGGATTCGAGTTGGGAAACTATAGCCAAAATAACCGATTTGCTTGAGGTTTTTAAAAATGCAACAACTTTTTTATCCGGTGTTTATTACCCTACTAGCCCGTTGGTTCTTAATCAAATATTTTTGTTGGCTACCCGACTAAATGACTTTGAATTTGAAACCGAAGTTTTTCAAGAATTGGCTTTGCAATGAAGGAAAACTTTTAAAATATTTTAAGGAGACTCCCCCCATTTTTACTTGTGCCGCCGCTTTAAACCCAACGTTAAATGTTGGTGGGGTTGAAACACTAATTGAACAAATTGCGTTTGCTTTTAATCTAACCGATGATGAACCCAACTTTGTCCAAAACCAAATAAATTATTTTAACAAATGTTTTCGAGACATGTTTGCAATTTATTTAACTAAATACGGATCAAGTAGTGTAATACACGATCAAATGAGAATGAATGCGGAATCATCTAGTAGACGTCCAAGTAACATAAATTTGAATCTTTTTAACACTCTTGTAAATTCCCAATCCAAACGATCACGTACTACCACCCCAAGTAGCGAGTTGGGAAATTACATGTCATGCGATTTTCTATCAAAAATGACATTTGAAGAGTTTGAAAGTTTGGATATTTTGGCTTGGTGGAAAGAAAAGGAAGCACAATTTCCGATTCTAGCCGCCATGGCCCGTGATTTACTAACCGTCCAAGCTTCTACGGTAGCTTCGGAATCCGCTTTTTCTGTTAGTGGCAGGGTTATATCGCAACGGAGATCAAGACTAAGTCCCGAGTCGGTGGAAGTATGCATTTGTTTAAAGGATTATTTGGATGGAGCGGCTCGTAAGCAACATATCACCACCCTAGAAGATGCAATTGATGCCGATTTGGAAGCAAACTTACACATTGAAGAAGTCGAACTTGGAATATCCCATCCAAACGAAGAAGGCGAAGATGATGAAGAATAGATGGCAATGTAGTTTATTTTATAACTTTATTTCAATTATCGTAAACTTTGTTTCAATTATCGAACTTGAAGTTTTTAAGTATTTGAATTTATCGAACTTGGAAGTTTTTAAGTATTTGAATTTATCAAACTTGGAAGTATTTAAGTATTTCAATTATGTTGAGTTAATTAAGTATTTCAATTAAGTATTTGAATTTATCGAACTTGAGGTTTGATGCTTTCTCTTTGATTCTCTCTCTTTGATTCTCTCTTGATTCTAGTTGCTTAATGTTTCTTGTCTTTGATCAATGGCTTCTAAGCTTGCTTAAATACACCTTGAATCACTTCTGAACGTTAGTGATAATTAATGAAGATAATATAGCCGTTTAAGTGTGAAAACATTTAATAAAAATGCTTGGAGCGTGGGGGAATCGGTTTCCTCTCATAGGGAATCGGTTTCCTCTCATAGGGAATCGGTTCCCTAAGTGTAAAACTCAAATATTTCGACCGTTGAATAGGGGGAATCGGTACCCCCTATGGGAGAATCGGTTCCCTCCGAGCATTCTGGAAATCTCTGAGCCAAACCATTCAGTGAGGAATCGGTACCCCCTTGGGGGGGAATCGGTTCCCTATGAGCAATCTGGAATATTAAAATCGGTTTTTTTATAACCGGTTTTTTAAAAAAACCGGTTTTTTTAAAACCGAAACCAGTTACACCGGTTAGGGTATCCGGCCCTCCAAACCGATTAGAAACCGAACCGATTATTTTATAAACCGGTTTTTTTTTTCTATGGGAAAAAATCGGATCGGATAAAAACATATCCGGATCGGATTGAAATCCGACAAATGTGCACATCTACTTGACAACAACTAGAAGAAGCTTTTTGACAAAAACCCTATCTTCGTGCTTTATGCGTTACTAGAACATTTTCGGTATTGTTTTTTTAAACTTTATATTAAGCTGCGGCTATCCGTTTGCTCTCATTTCTTTCAAATATTCTATTTCAAATGCAACCCCTCAAAATTAATTTGGCATTTCGCCACTCACACTTCCCAATTGTATTGAAATAGTAAATGAATTGGTATGTGTCAAATAATAATCTGTTAATTAAACATTAATTAAAAATAAAAGAAATTAAATATGAGTAAACCGTCTCCGATCTCTCTACCGTCTACAAATACCTTTCCCCCCGCGTCAATTTTCTTTCAATCTTTTCCCCCAAATTGAAACCCTAAATCCTAAACAACACTTTAAATGAAAATTTAAACCCAAGGGGGATTTCGTTAAAAATGTCAGATGTTCCACCTCTGAGAAAGTCGGCCGTGATCCGATCCGTTTGGTCTCACAATATGGAATACGAATTCGATTTAATCAGATCCATCGTCCACGTCTTTCCGATCATCTCAATGGACACGGAATTCCCCGGCGTTGTTTTCAGGCCATATTCCTCCGGCGCCGGCTCCCACTACGCACGGCCGGCTGACGTCACGGCGCATTATAATAGTCTCAAAGCGAACGTCGATATGCTGAAGATGATCCAACTCGGCTTAACTCTCTCAGACGATAACGGAAATTTACCAGATCTCGGCACCGAACACTATTTTATCTGGGAATTCAATTTCAGAGATTTCGATGTCGCGAACGATGCCCACGCTCACGATTCCGTCGAGCTTCTCCGTCGCCAAGGCACAGATTTTGAAAAAAACCGTGAATTCGGGATCGACTCGGTCCGGTTCGCGGAACTGATGATGTCATCGGGACTCGTTTTGAATGAAGAAGTTACGTGGGTGACTTTCCACTGCGCATACGATTTCGGATACCTTGTGAAGTGCTTGACAGGCCAGTTGTTACCGTTCAAACTCACCGATTTCTTGAGCCTCGTGCGCATGTTCTTCAGGGAAAGAGTCTACGATGTCAAACACCTGATGAGGTTCTGCGCTGGCTTGTACGGGGGGCTCGACCGAGCGTCTGACGCTCTGTCGGTGAACAGGGCCATTGGAAAGAGCCATCAGGCCGGTTCCGATAGCTTGCTGACATTGGACGCGTGGTTGGAGGTCAAAAGAAGGTATTTTGGGGAAGGGGATGTTGAGAATTATGCTAATGTTCTTTATGGTTTAGAACTTGAATCTTCATGAAATTTTAATGCATTCTCTGTTGATAAGTACTCATGTTTGTGAGAAATCTCATGGCATTTGTTTTTAGTTAGATTTTTGTACACAGTTTCTGGGTTGTTGATCAATCATCAATATTAGTAATAGTTTCAGTTCCATTCTTTCATTTCCACATTCCCCGTATTACGAATTTGTATTTCTTCGGCTGAAATAAATTCTTAATCTTTGATTTACATTCAACTAAGCTTTTGAGCTGTAATTTGTACCTAATAAGCCTTAACATCTAATTATACTAAAAAAGATCTTTGGTGTTATTTGAGTAGAAATCAAAGATAATGATCTATTTGATTACCTTCAATGCTCTTTTTTAATACTTTAGCCTGATGTTTACGTTAATGGTGAATAGAAAGAATGTTGTTGCACTCATAGGTAGATATGATAAAGAACACCAAGATAAAATCATAAACAATGGCAACCAGCTCTACACTAACCATTGGGAATCTCAATCCATTTCTCTCATTTTTGTAAAAACTCTGCAGTGTTCTTCAAGTGCTTATACTTAGGGTCAGATTATGGTTATCAGAACTTGGGGTTTTTGTTAGTGTGGTATTATTGTTATTTTTAATGTGATTTTTTTTTATTCAAAGAAAAAACCATGACATGTTTAGTCTTTACAATCAAAGAAAAGCAGTAGCAAGGACTTTAGCACATATGAAATACATATCTTTGAGAACGATATGACTGCTTGGCTGAAAGTTTGGTCGTGTACCAAAATAAGCGACTAACTCAACTCCAGTCTAATACTATGTAGCCAGGCCCCTTTTTTAAGATTTTGGTGGTTCTTAGGCGAATAAAAAAACTAGGCCCTTAATCACATCTGTATTGGATTCGACTCTGATGACCTTGTTCTTCTTTGAGAAAATTGTGAAGCCTCATAAATTGTGGACAATGAGCGAGTCTTGAAAATTGAAATTATATGTAAGTTTATATAACTTACTATTCTTTCATAAAATATTAATCTTTGTTGGAATAATTTAGAGAATGTACATTCGGAATTGGAGTATCACCGGTTTCAGCATCTTCAATTCTGTCGTTGCTTTCTTTATCCAATTTGGAATTCAGAAGTTTTCATCAGTTAGTACATTGAATCAGAACATTGACATGATTCCATTTGACAACTTTGAATATAAATTTTGGTGGAATTATACGTCTGGTACCACGACTAAATGTACATCCTTTGGAAAAGGAGTCTTAGGCTTGATTCTTGTCTTCTCAAAATGCATAAATTTTATTGGGACCGATAAAATATTCACATTGTCCATTTGATTTTATTTGAATTGATAAAAATATTGACATCATCTAGTACAAGACATTATTTGTTCAAATATAATTCTCAACTATCTATTTGACATTAAGCATTCACACACCGGACATTCTTGGTGCTCGAACCCGAAACCTTAAAGAATAACAATAATTTTTTTACTACTACGCCTGATTCGTGCATACATAATTTTTCTTAAAATCACATTAATATCATAACCACCAATAATCGAAATAATAAAAACAATAAATTGATGACTAATAACATAGTTTACCTTTTATTTTGTATTTGAACCTTTCCTCTTTATTGATGACAATTTAACCCGAAATCGATGAGTTTTGATCCGATCAGATCCGATAGGGTTATTTTTTAAATAAAAAAAATTGAGTGTCGACTTGACCCGATATGATGAGAATTAAGGGGTGAGTTTGGGTTGGGTAGGCGTCGGGTAGAGGGTGAAAAAATTGACTTGATCCGAAGATAATAATGTAATTTTCTCTAAAAAAAAATTATTGTTTTTCTAATTAAGTCTTTATTATATGCCCCATCGAGTCAGATTAGATTTATACTCTAAGATTTCGGGTTGGATCAGAGTCAAGTAGAGGATATATTTTCTGGATTGGATTAAATCAAACGAAGAATATATAACTTTCGAATCGAATTGGATCCAAATTTAGAATACATATTTTCGAATGGGGTGAAGGATATACAGTGCGCCCTCGTTAGTAACAGCTCTCCTCTCTCTTCCACTCGCTCATGTCCTCGTCGGTTTCTCCATAATTTTCTGAAATGAGAAGACCCTTTTTCAAAAATAATAATTGTTTTCTGTAATCGTTGAGGACCTTTTTTTTGTTGTTGATAAATCACGTTCCCTTAATTATTCGAACAAAAATTTATATTTTATTGAAGAGTAAAAAGTTATTAATTTACATATATTTCATATTATTTTTTTATATTTATCTATCATGTTTTAAAGTTAGAATTTTGAAAGCTCTAACATTTAGATCCTTATCCATATTTAACATTTGTGTTTCAAGTCTGTATTTATTATTTTGTTTGGTACATGAGACGGAAAAAAGAATGATGAAAAGGAAATAGTGGCTGTGTGCAAATATGCGATTGGGTGAAATGGAGGATTTTATTTTATTTGTATTTTGTTTCAAATTTATTGCTCATTTTCTTTAAAAAAATATTTTTATTATTACTTGCATATTTGCTTAACTACTAAATAATAATTTGGGTTGTACTAGCTTAAAATGAATTTTTTTTATTCAAGCTCGATTCAAGTTAACTTAAACCTATTAGTTAAATAAATTGTTCTACCCCTCCAACAAATCTAAAACTTAATAATAAAATCATTAATCTTCTATAATCAAATATACTTAATTCAAGTAGATCATGCGTTCATTTTTAGAAGATGATATATGTTAGAGAAAATCGCCTCAGTGACCAAAATTCCCATATAATATACGATTTTAACCTATTTTTTTCGGATTTGCCAAAATGACCAATAAAATCGCAATGCGATCGCTAATTCGCAACGCGATCTCCATTATCGCAAATTCGCGTTGCATTTCGCGTTGCGATAGTTGAAAATTGCATTGCGATGGTCTACAGTGTCGTTGCGATTTTCCCAATTCGCAATGCGAATAAGTAAATCGCAACGCGAATTGGGAAAATCGCAATGCGATACTGACTATCGCAATGCGATACTTACTATCGCAATGCGATAATACAAAATCGCAACGAGATACTGACTTTCGCAACGCGATAATACATAATCGCAATGCGATTTTCAAAGCGCCATTAGTATCCTGGCCAAGTATTTTATTTTTAAATTCCAAACACGAATATTAATATATTGGAACACTGAACCGTCCACAGTATATCTCGTAATCGCAACTCATAACCTAAAACCTAAAATCACAACTCAGTCCCATCTCCATCTCTCACTCTCTCACCCATCTCCGACGAAATCCGTCCCCATCTCCGGCGAAATCCGTCTATCTCCATCTCTCAGAGCCACCCTCACAATCAGAAATGGAAAATCAACCAAATCAACCAACGAGGGTTAGTTTTTTTAATTATTTTCTTTTTGAAATTTTTGCATTATTATTAGGTTTTTCATATTGAAATTGATGATAAGTTTACTGGTAATTTCAATAATAGATTAACCATTTCACTTAGATTTCTTATTAAATCAACCGAGAATCGCAACGCGAAAATGCAAATCGCAACGCGATTTTAGTTTCGCGTTGCGATTCTCTCGTTGCGATAGTCAAATTCGCGTTGCGATAGTCATTTTCGTGTTGCGATTTTCATTTTCAGAAACTATTCTTCTTCTGCAAATTGAAACTTGAATGAATTGCATTACTTCAACCAAAAAACAAAGACAAATACGAAATTCACAGTGTTGCAAATTTAAGTTTGAAGAATAAACTACTACTCTTTATGTTTATTATTGTTTTTGGTATATCTTCACAGTGTAGTTTTTGGTATATCTAACTTAGTATGTTTATTGTTTTTGTAGAACTTTTATTCGGCTCAATTGACCTTAAGAAATAAAGTCAGCCTGGCCAAAACAATTGCGTCGAAGCTTTCACCTGCACAAAGAAAAATGTTTGAGGATACATGCTTCGGGCCATGGCTGAAAGTACATCCCGGTGGAGATGCGATTTTGACACATGTTTCTTCAAACCATGACTAGCGATCTACCAGAGACTATACAACGTCGTGATGAAGAGATATGGTTTGATTTTCCACCGGCGTATACGTGTTTTGGGCGGGAGGAGTTTTGCTTAATCACCGGTCTACGCTTCGGACACGATGATGTAGGTCGGTACACTAGACACATTACCCGCCCTTCATGGCTATCCCGGGTTTTTCTTGAGCTGGAGAGGCCGAATCTACACGTAGAAGACCTGGCAAGATTGTTGAATAAGAAAGATGGTTTTACTCGGATGGATGACGTCGACGTTGTCCGAGTATGCCTTCTAATTCTTTTGCATGCCGGCTTTTTAGGCAGAGAGGCCAGACAACCTATTCCAAATGATCTAATCAAATTGGTAGAAGACCTAAATACGTGGAACCTGTTTCCGTGGGGCTCGTATTTATGGAAAGCTACATGGAATAAGTTATCGTCTCCCTTGGATGATCGAAAAAGTTTGCATGGCGATGGTTCCAAATACACTTTGACAGGCTTTATTTGGGCCTTTAAGGTAAGAATTTTTATATAATGTTTCCAAAATTATAAGTAATTATTTAACAATTACTAATGTTTGTTATTATATTGTTTGTAGATTTGGATATTTGAGGCCTTTCCCGCCATGAAGACATATGCAATAAAAACTTCAAATGATATTCCCAGGGCTATTTCCTGGAAGAGGAAACGGACCTTGCAATGGGAAGATTTACTACGGTATACGACAATAAATAATGTAAGTTAACATAAATACTACCATATGTTTATAAACAAGTTATTACTAGTACACGTTTAACTTTGTTTGAGCTTTTATATTGTTAGGAGGCCAACACTCCTCTACAGAGGCTGACACCCACGGAAGCTGAGCTTGCCACTGATTGGTGGCAAGCTAGTAAGCATTTTTTTGATGGAACGGTTGATGAGCAGCCTCCACTTCGGGAACCATCACCTCGCCCAGAGCTATCACCTCACCCAGAGCCATCATCTGATCGACCCGACTATACACCTCCACAACGACAGCCATCACCTATTCTGTCACATCATCGAGCCTCTTCTCCACCATCACCGCAAGATAGGTGACCGGCAAAGATGCCACGACGTTTATCTCCCTGTTCTTCACCTCTACCTCAACGGGATGAGTTAG